GTAGCCACCAGGGAAGACCTATATATGTAAATACATAAAATTTATATCTAACATAAAATTTATATCTAACATAAAATTTATATATATATATATATATATAACTCATACAACTGAATAGCGAAAAAAGTCTGACTGAAAAAAAATCTGAGTATAAACACTTCCTCAAAGAAGACATACAAATGGCCGACAGTTACATGAAAAAGTGCTCAGTGTCACTAATCATCAGGGAAATCTGAAGCTAAATCACAATAAGATACCAGCTCACACTTCTTAGGAAGACTATTAGCAAAGGGATAAGTACTGACGAGGATATAGACAGAACTAACAGAACCCTGGTACTCTGCTGCTAGGAATGTAAATTGGCACAATCATTTTTGAAGACAGTATGAAGGTTCCTCACAATATTAAAAATAGAACTACTTTATGATCCAGCAATCCTACTTCTGGGTATAAATCCAAAGAAGAGAAATCCGGATCTCAAAGAGATGTCTACACTCCTGTTCTGTGCTGTGCTGAAGTCACTCAGATGTGTCTGACACTTTGTGACCCCATGGACTGTAGGCACCTCTGTCCATGGGGATATTCCAGCCAAGAATAGTGGAGTGGGTTGTCATTCCATTCTCCAGTGGATCTTCCCAACCCAGGGATCGAACTTGGGTCTCCCGCATTACAGACAGATTCTTTACCATCTGAGCCACCTGGGAAGCACATAGCTACTGTACTGAATACTTGAAATTTGCTTAAAGGGAAGATTTTAAGTATTCTCACAGAAAGGAATGAAGGCAAGGGAGGGAGGAAGGGAAAGTGAGAGGGAGGGAGGAAGGAACAAAGGAAGGAATGACAGGGAAAATGGCAACTTTGTGAGGTGGTAAGTATGTTAAATAACTTGACTGTGCTATTTCACAATGCAGGCATATATCAAAACATCAAACTGTATACACCTTAAATATATAGAATTTTTAATTTGTCAATTATCCCTCAATAAAGATGGAAAAGCAAACTCTCCAAAAACTTCATTCTAAGTGAAAGAAGTCATATACAGAAGAATAAATGATGCTTTTGAACCGTGGTGTTGGAGAAGACTCTTGAGAGTCCCTTGGACTGCAAGGTGATCCAACCAGTCAATCCTAAAGGAAATCAGTCCTGAACATGCATTGGAAGGACTGATACTGAAGCTGAAACTCCAGTCCTTTGGCCACCTGATGCAAAGAACTGACTCACTGGAAAAGACCCTGATGCTGGAAAGATTGAAGGCAGGAAGAAAAAGGGATGACAGAGGATGAGATGGTTGGATGGCATCACCGACTCAATGGACATGAGTTTGAGCAAGCTCCAAGAGTTGGTGATGGACAGGGAAGCCTGGTATGTTGCAGTCCATGGGGTTGCAAAGAGTCAGACATGACTGGGCTACTGAACTGAACTGAAATACTGTACAATTCCACTAACATGAAATTCTAGAAAAGGCAAATTTAATCTATGGTGACAGAAAGCAGATCAATGATTCCCAGGTCAATGAGATTGGGGATAGGGTAGAACTGACAAGGAATGGGCAAAAAAAAAAATCTATCTTAAGGGGTTATGGAAACATCCTAAGTCTTGAATAGTGGTGGTGATTTTTATAGGTTATGTATTTGTCAAAACACATTAATGTATGTACTTAAAATGGGTGAATTTTATTGTATGTAATTATACCTAAATAAAATTGATTTAAGAAGAAACAAAAAATGTCTTTCAGTTCCCTCAAAATTTGTTGCACAAATTTTCCAATTTAAATTTAGTAGTTAATTAGAAGAAATGCTAGGAGAGTTACTTTTAAGTGAAAAAGGATTATGTGAAAATATCATGATAATCATTTAGAAATACTCAGGTTTTATAAATGCACACTTATTTGGTATCTCGGAATCAACAATTTTATCACTTAGTACTTTTTTCTTTTTATGGTAATGGATCTAATACATTCTATTCAAATTTTATTCTATATATCCAAAGCAGAACATAAACAGCATCTGATCCAAGACAAGTTTAATCATATAAGTGTCCAATGTATTTGTTAGGGGTGCTTTGACTTTAAGGTAAGAAATTCAGAATGCTTTCCAAGTTTGTTAATTAATAGCATCCCTAGACAAATATCTTCTTACTGCTGTGCCTGATTGCTAAATCTCTCTGCTTCAAGGCAACAGATGGCTTAAGTTCTCCCAGAATTAAAAAGGAAATAATCTAGAATTCCTTGTGATTCAAGGGACTAAATTTAATCAGGTTATCCTATTTTATAAGTTACAAATATCCTAGAAAAAATGAAGATGATCAAAATGATTGCTATCTTCTAATCACGTGAGTAGTGTGTAATAGTCTTTATAGTACCAGTTGATGAAATACTGCTACCATAAAATCAGCATGTACTAAACCCAACCAAAGCCTTCAACAGTCTCTCTTCATGAACTTTTTCTTATGACAGCAATCTTCCTCTTGGGCTTAGAAGATAATACAGATTGCAGAGTTCCTTGAGCCGTCTTTATTAAGTCTGATTGAAAAGTAAGAGTAACAAAACTCTTTCCTAGAAGTTTCATCTTAAGGTTCATTTGGTTCAGAGAACTTTTTTGGATTGATCCAGATTATATGAGTTCTATGCACTGCTGCTGCTACTGCTAAGTCACTTGAGTCGTGTCCAACTCTGTGCGACCCTATAGACATCAGCCCACCAGGCTCCCCCATACCTGGGATTCTCCAGGCAAGAACGCTGGAGTGGATTGCCATCTCCTTCTCCAATGCACGAAAGTGAAAAGTGAAAGTGAAGTCGTTCAGTCATGTCCAACTCCTAGCGACCCCATGGACCGCAGCCTACCAGGCTCCTCCGTCCATGGGACTCTCCAGGCAAGAGTACTGGAGTGGGTGCCATTGCCTTCTCTGTTCTATGCACTAACACTATTTAAATATCAGTCTAAGCAATATGAAAAATTTTTTTCTTCTTTACAATGAGTTGTATGTCAGCGTGTCATATGGTCCCCTCTAGATTGAAAGCCATCAAAGACAGGAATCAAAATGCCTGCATCCATTATATTATAAAAACACACTGCTCATAGATCCTCATCAAATGCTTAATTATTGACACTATCTGAACATCTGCCTGTTATATGGGATATGCCAGACCAACGTGGCCTTATAAAGTAGAGCCTGTTCCATATTGGTATTTTCTTTTCTTTTTATTAAAGTATTTATGTATTGATTTACAATGTTGTGTTAGTTTTAGGTGTACAGCAGAGTGATTCAGTTATATATATATACATATTAATAGTTCCTATTGTCATTCTACTTACTCAAATCTTTGTCTATTACTATATAACTAAAGTCAGGCAGGCTGCTTGCAAAAAAAGGGCCTGTTTTTGGTTTTTTTTTTTAACACAAATATCTCTCCAGATCTCTGTCATCTGTATCTCTTCCCAATGTTCTGGCCTTTCCACTGCATTTTCCAAGAAGTTCTCTGTGAATAGAGATTCATTTTTAGTTTGAAAGCACATTTTAATATTCTTTATTATTTCACAGTATCTTACAGTTCTTTAGTTACACTATTTTAGAATTACTTGTTTTGTGACAGAGAAACAGGGAATTAAAATTTCTAAAAAATCAAGGAAAATGAGTCTCAGCATCTTATACCAACTGCATACGTCATTCTCTTCTCCATCCCCACCCACCAACATCCACACATACAGACACAAAATCCCAATCTGTAGCACAACTTTCTAACACTTGATATTTTGGTAGGGAGAGCAGACAAATATACTAAAAAGAAAGGAAGAGGGTACATTATATTTTAATAATGTGACAAGGCCTAAGCAACAAAATTATTAAATATTTGGGTTATGTAAAGCAGTCATCCTCAGCCTATCTTTGAGCCTCACTCCATCCCCCTGATCTATATCCCAGAGGGTATGAGATGACAAGAAGCTCGGAAATGGAGTAAAAGATGAGGTTGGCCTTAGGCACCATCTGGCATCCACATGACATAAAACTAGGAGCCACAAGCTTATCACACATGCTTTTCTCACAAAGGAGTATCAGTCATAATTCATTTTGTTTGCTGGCCACCATTTCAAATTATATGATCTCTTACAGTTACAGTGGTCATACTTAATCTCTAGTGATATATAGACTTAGCCTTGTTATCATAGCATTTGTCCTGTTTTCCAGTAGAAAATGGTTTTTAAATGGCTATTTGTTTTTGGTAGGTTTCTTGATTTTGCCAACCCCAGAAGACACTGGGGATGATGGATGAGAATAATTCTTCTAACAGTTTCCACAGTGATATACATACATTATGCACTCTTATAATGATGATTTTGGAAGACAAAAATCACCCCTCCCCTCAGAGGCTAACTCAATTGTAGGCATTTTAAAAATAGTTCTCTTTTTTATGACTATAAAAGCAATACATTTCAATGAAAAAAAAAACCAAACACTTTAAATATGAGTAACACTGGGAGAGAAAGAACCATGCAATCTGGGTGGTAGAGGGACAACTAGGTTCAAGAATATCTGCTATGGATTCTTTGTGCTGGGTTCAGGAGGAGTCAGACAGGAACTGAAGCAGGCAACGCAATCAAAATACTGCTTCAGTGGGCGACGTGGAACTGGTGCAGAAGGGCGTTCATTACAGTGATGCCTGAAACATAGGAAAAAGGGAGTGGTGGTGGAAGACGGGGAAGAGCCCAAGATCTAGCCAGAGGCCAAGAAGAGTAAGGCAGGAGCGAAAAAGAGGCAGCAGGAGAGGATGCAGTTCTGTATGAAGACCCCCCTCCCCAGATCAGAAAACCTCACCCAGTGGCAAATCAGCCACACTCAAGTTCTGCTCGTGGAATGTGGATGGGCTTCAAACCTGGGTTAAGAAGAAAGGTTTAGATTGAGTAAAGGAAGAAGCCCCAGATATCCTATGCCTCCAAGAGACCAAATGTTCAGAGAACAAACTACCAGTTGAACTTCAAGAGCTGTCTGGGTTATCCCATCAGTACTGGTCAGCTTCTTCAGACAAGGAAGGGTACAGTGGTGTGGGCCTCCTCTCCCCTCAGTGCCCACTCAAAGTCTCCTATGGCATTGGTGAGGAAGAACACGATCAGGAAGGCCGAATGATTGTGGCTGAATATGATGCATTTGTGCTGGTGACAGCCTCTGTGCCTCATGCAGGAGGAGGTCTGATAAATCTGAAGTACTGCCAACACTGGGATGAAACCAAATTCCTGAAGGGTTTGGCATCCCACAAGCCCCTTGTGCTATGTGCGGACCTCAACATGGCTCATGAAGAAATTGCCCTTTGCAACCTAAAGGGAAATGAAAAGAATGCTGGCTTCACTCTGCAAGAGCAGCAGGGATTTAGGAAACTGCTGCAGGCTGTGCCACTCAATGACAGTCTCCGGCACCTCTACCCCAACATGGCCTATGCCTACACCTCTTGGACCTATATGACAAATACGCGATCCTAAAACATTGGTTGGCGCCTTGATTATTTCTAGTTATCTCGGTTTGTGTTGCCTGCGTTGTGTGACGGCAAAATCCATTCCAAGGCTCTGGGTAGTGACTACTGTCCCAAAACCCTATACCTGGCCCTATGACACCTCTCCCAAATTACACTGAGCCTGGGAAATAAGCCCACCAAGCTAGCTTTAAACTTCTTACCCCCAAACTTCTTTAGTAACTGGTCTCTAGAGAAATCTGCACTGTATTTCCCTTCTAAACTATGGAATCCTTTAACCAGGCTTCTAATACAGATGTTAAGTTCTCAAGGAAGGTGTTTGTGTAGGGGTGGTGCTTTCTTTCTTTTTTTTTTTTTACATTAAACAAAAGCTATTGATATTTCCTTTGAACTGTCCATATGAAAATAAAGAGCCATAGTTTTAAAGAAAATCTGATATGAATCACAACCCATGGAAGGAAAAAACAGTGATTTTATTTCTGAAATGATTATTTGGACATGGTTATGTCAATATGCTTATATCAAAATAGTCATGTCAGGCAGTCATATCAAAACATTCTGCTCTGAGATGGAAACTAGTGAAACGTAAGAGGCAAAGCCTGGGTAAGACATGGGAAAGGAGGCATGTTCTTGAGAGGTCTATGTCATTTTGATCAATGTTGGGGAAGCTAGCAAAAGGATCTGATAAGCAGCTGCAGTGTAATTGAGATTTCATTCATTTTAAAAATCAAATTCTGCATCAGATTTTAAGATATTCATAAATCATACTTCAAAGCGTTGAATTATATATAAAAATATTAATTGATTCTATAACAAATTGATAAGTACTCATTGCTAGACACTGTTCATTACTCTTTATATAATTATCGTAGGCGCCCAGAGTAGTAGTTACTATCCCATTTCAGAGTTAATAAAGGAAAACTAGGGGCTCAGAGAGGTTACAGAATTGCAAGGTCATGCATGCGTGCTAAGTTACTTCAGTCGTGTCTGACTCTTGAATGAATTGCCGTGCCTTTCTCCAGGGGATCTTCCTGACCCACGGATAGAACCCCATCTCTTATGTCTCCTGCACTGGCAAGCAGGTTCTTTACCACTAATGCCACCTGAGGGGGTAGGGGGTGGGCTTCCCTGGTGGCTCAGATGGTAAACAATCTGCCTGCAATGTGAAAGACTTGGTTCGATCCATGGGGTGGGGAAGATCCCCTGGAGGAGGGCATGGCAACCCACTCCAGTGTTCTTGCCTGGAGAATCCCCATGGACAGAGGAGCCTGGCGGGCTACAGTCCATGGGGTCAGAAAGAGTCAGACACACCTAAGTGACTAAACACAGCACAGTGCCACCTGGGAAGCCCTGAGCTATAAGGTTATATGGAATTAAAGAGTTATCATAGGTATATAGCACTAATTCATCTCATAAAAAAATAGGAACTTATTTTGATGTACTTTCTCATATGGTTACTATATCTTATAAATGCATTTCTAGGTTTAGCCTATTCTTTCTGTAATACTGCAAAAAAAAGTATCATTTAAATTGAAAGTGAAAAAAATAAAAAGCCTTAAACATTCATAAACGATTAGTAGGAACATAACAGGAATATAATTATATTGCAAGATTTCTACACATGTAGAATGATACAATTGCTTCCCATAGTCATTGGCCTTTTATTTCAGCAGAAATATGTCAATATTAAATCACAGTGAAGTAATTGATTGTATTACAACCTAAAGCTAAAAGTATATTATACAATTAAATATATTTAAGTCCTCTTTTTAAAGCGTAATTTGCACCTGAATATCTTAACCAGTCCCTACACCTAGCAACAGATAGTTCAAATGTGAAGCAATATCATTTTTCAATTTTGGTAGTTGAATTATTTTATATATAAGGTTGTGGAAAACAGAAATTGTAGCTTTAAAACCCATAATTTTATGAATGTGTGGGTGGAAATAACTTTATTTTTTCCATTAAATACGTGTATAGATTGTTCCTATATGAAAATCATTACTATAATTTATAAAATAACATTAATATAATCAACACAATTCTGTACATTCTGATATTGCTCATGAATTTAATTTATTCCAGCATGTTAAATCAAGCAATTTAACAAACTAAACACATACTTTATCTTGATGAATAGTATTACACAGATCTGCTCCAATGTATTACAATATAACCATTATTATCAAACATATTCTCCACATTTATTTAAAAGCTATGCAATGTAATAGTTAGAACAAGGCAGATGTACATTTGAATATTGGCTCTGCCACTGAGTAGCTGTTATGTCACTGGAGAAGCTCCTTAACATCTCTAAGGTTGAGTTTCTTCCTCCATAAAAATAGGGGTAAAAATAACTACCATACAATGTTGTTGTGAAATTGCTGTTAAATAAGTTTACATACATGACGGTGTTTGGCCCAGAGCAGGCGCTCAGTCAATGTAAGTATACTTCCTTTCTCAAAATATTACATGACTAATTGGGAGTGGGGTGGTTCCAAGTATTCAGTTAAAAAGGCTTATCTCTGTGTTTTAATTTAACTACCCTATATAAGCAACCAGTTCTCAACATTGTTTAAAAGCAGTTAATGCAAAAAATACATGTTACCTATTCTTTATCAATTGTCACAAGAATTTAGTGACATGCTTTTGGGATTGGACTAAAAAACCCTGGGTTCTCTTCAAAATGACTATGAATGTGCATGCAGTTGAAGGATGGTAACAATAAAAAAAGGAATGCTGGGTCATTAGGTCCATCTTCTGGCTTTTCCATGGTTTAAAAAGATAGATAAAACAATTATTACACAAATCACTTGGGTGCTGTGATGAGAGAATGAGATTAGGAAGGAGCTTTATTACCAGCCTATAAATGTGTCATAAAAGTACAGTCATTTTATTGCTTTTTCTATTTCAAGCAGCTGTCATTTTAGTCATATGTGTTTTCTGCCATCCATGATACATAACTATGTATTGTCAGTATTTCCAACCAATTAACAGGCCAGGAAAATAAAAGGCAGAATTTCCTAAGTCCAAACTCAACATTTTTAAGAGGCTAATGCAATTTTTTAAAGTTCATTTAAGTAATAAAAAGTCACTTGATTGATGTTTATGTCTCTTAGTCTAACCTAGTGAATTGTAGACATCTTAAAGTGGAAATAATTTCTCAGCCTCTTTTGACAGTTGGTGAATATTTCTGTCTGTTCTACATATTAACCAGTGTCTTGACATAAAGTATTACTTATTTTAAAGAACTAGGTAAAAATAATCTTTAATTTTTCTTTCAAAAGGATACTTCAAACTCCCACTTAGGGTAAATAACACTGTTAATGATGACCTGTACAATTATAAAACATTTCAGAATCATTCAATCATGTTATTGAAAAGGGTGGTCAAGATATTGTAAAAAAAAAAAATGTCAAACTGATTATTGAAGTGCAGTGAATGGTTTTTGACTTGCATTGACTTATATCTCAATAATTCTGAGTAAGAGAGACACATAATCTACCTTAAATAAATGTGTTCCTTTGATTATGCCAAGAAATCAACAAAATGACCTCATCAGATTTGGCTAATAATAGACTAGTGAAGAAATAACTTTAAACAAGTATCCAATACAACCCCAGATAATTTTATACCAAGCTTAAACACATGATTTTTTAAAATTACTATTTAGAAGTTATTTAAAAAGTCTCTTTGGAAGTACAGTCATGATTAACTTTTTAGTGGAGAATTCCTATAAAAATAACCTCTCTTGCTACATCTGAGCTAGGGGTCATCTTATTTGTAATATGCCCAAATTTCAAGAAAACAAGGGCACTTACAGGGCCAAAAAGGCAGTTTGAGGTTTACCTTCTCCAAGATTTTAGATGCCAGAGTGCTTTAACATTGCCCAGCTGTTCCAATTACTTCCACATGTCTTAAATTTCCCCTTCATGGCGACCTTGATGTGCCTGTCTAATGCACAGGTACACTCTCTTGAGTAGGCAGGTTCCTGCCACAGCATAGTTAGTAACTTAGTGGTATAGAATCAATACATCATAAGGACCGTTTGACTCACTTTGCAGGAAGGCAGTTAAACCTGACATCTGTAGTCACCATTACTTTCCAACCAACAGGAATCTTTAAAGCATATCAAAAGATGTCATTCAAATACTATGGCTACAAATAAATGAATCCCTTTATGAGACTATGAGCCTATATGCCAGTCCCAAAGCATTGCTTTTTTCCCATTTTAAACCCCAAAATACATTTTTTAAATAGTTCAAACTGGCTGTTTCTAAACTTTTATTTTATTGCACACTAAGCCTTCAGAAATAATTATTCATTGAAAACTAATTTATGTGTAATGTGAGTCTAGGAGATTATCACACTTATCTTACCATTTATTTGAAAATACTTTATTCCAGGAAGACTCCTTCTGTGTCACATTTAATTGCCTTTGAAGCTCCTGCCATTTGAATCTGTCTTCTGGAACATGCATTTCATCATTATTTTTTAGCCTTGTTACATCAATCACCACAACTGCTATAGAAGATTTCTGGGCTGTGAAGTGATAATTTGTTCCAGTGGTATTAATGAGGCAAGCAGTGGTCTTGAGGGAGGTGACAGCCCATTGCTTTACAGAAAGCACCAGATTAAGGTGCTGGACAATATACGAGGCTTTAAGCATATACTCTAGAGTCTTTGGAGTGTTTTATAACTTTCCTTACCAAACTTAACATAGAAGAGATACTTCTGACACATTATCTACAATGAGCTAGGCATATCTAATCACCAAGGGGGGGAGCATTAATAAGTGTTGCTCAACTTACCTTGAGTTACAGACACATAAGAGAAACTTTGTACTGCTCCCAACTTGAAGGCTCCCTAATGCCTTATAAGCTCTGAATTGGTCTATTTCCATTACCATGGTTGTAATGGCATGTCCCTAGCCACAGAGGAGTCTAATTCCCTGAAGTGCAGCCAATGAAAACTTGTATTTCTGGGAATTAGTTCTCAGAACTAGGAATG